CTAGTTGTCTTAGTTTCTGTTCAGAAGCAGGCTCCCTCTTAGCCCCCCCCCCCCCCCCCCCCCCCCCCCCCCATGGTGCTTTAGGTGCAACTTGTTAAATTACTTCTGAACCACTGCTTCCCAGTACCCGCGGATCATATTAGCATGAACCTTCTGGCAGTGAGTGAGTAGGGGTTCTTTGAACACTCCCCTGACCTAGTTAAAACAGGGACTAAATAAAAATATCAAAACTGTCCTACTCAGACAGATGTGTTGACTTCCCTCCATTTTACTATGTATGGGTCTTTCAAATGAGATCTGAAAAGAGGGTCCTGACCAGGCTGTGTCGAAAAGATGTATGTGCTGTACACGTGACGGTATCATAGTTAGGCTTGGCAGAATTTGACTTTTATTTTTTATCATTTTGATGGATAATAATGTTTTGTTAAATCATTTTTATTTTTATTGATTTTAATTTATTTTCACAGTTGTGGGAAATTATGTGGGGTCGGACAGTTGGGGGTGTCACAGTAATTACTTAATGACAGACCTTGAGATATACAAAGTTAAAGCTTTAGAATATTAAATCACTAATTGTGAACATTACAAGTCAAAATGTACGAAGGAAATATCCTTAAATCAAATGCAGTTCTCAAACATCATTTTTTTTCTTTCTTTTGCCTATCTGTAAATTTCTATTTATTATCAATTGAAATATTCTTTTGGTTTGTGTGTTTGTTTACATTACTGTTTATTGACATTTACTAATAAAAAAAATCTAATCATTCCAAGCCTAACTATATTACATTTTTAAATAAATGCTTTTTAAAACAATAACTTAATTCTGCTATCTTGCATCAGATAAAAGGGAAACAGCTACTGCCAAAGTCTTGCCTTCTAATAGTTTAAACAAGGTGACAGCTAGTCATTGCTTCTTTCTAATCCTTAGCGTATTGGATCTGTAAAGTTTTGCACTAATCCTGTGATGACCGACATGACTTGAGCAAATTTCTTTTAGATTAAGTCATCTCTTGTTCATGTGACCTTGTGAAAGATTTACACTTAAATAAATAACTCCCACATCTTGGTTACCTATTGTATGTATTTAATATCTCAAACCAGACATTTAAAATCTTATTTCTATGTTATAAGGATTTTACTATTTTATATCTAAGAATAACATTAAAGCTACTTAGCATTTAAAGTTTTCTTCATTTAGTTGGAAGGTAAACTGCAACTTTGTGTCAAGTACAGTAAATCCTCACTTAACATTGTAGTAATGTTCCTGAAAAATGCAACTTTAAGTGAAACAATGTTAAACAAATCCAATTTTCCCATAAGATTTAATGTAAATGCGGGGGGTTAGGTTCCAAGGAAACTTTTGGGGGGCAGACAAAAGGCATTATATACTGTACAGTACTGTACTGTGGTGGGGAGGTGTCCCTGGCTTACCCCTGGGGCTCAGGGCTCGGGGTGCAGGCTCTGGGAAGGAGTTAGGGTGTGGGAGGATGCTCAGGGTGCAGTGCGGGGTCTGGGAGGGAGTTAGGGTGTGGGAGGGCGCTCAGGGTGGGGGTGCGGGAGCAGGGCTTTGGAGCTGTATTCCGGCTACACTCCAGCTCCAGGCAAAAACCTGCAGCTCCACTGCTCCGGAACTGCTCTGCGCTCCAGCTCCGGGCTCCGCTCCAAAGCCCTGTGTGGGAGGAGGCTCAGGGCTGGGGCAGGCAGGAGGTGCAGAGCACTTACCTGGGGCAGCTCCTGTTTGGTGCAAGGGGTGTGCAGGTGGCTCTGCACAGCGTGGCATACCCCCCCCCCCCGTGGTCCCGATTCTGGGAGCTGCCCCCCCCCCCCCCCACCCCCCGGCAGGCAGGGCCACCCGGAACGCAGGTGCTTTAGGGGCTGCAGGGCCCTGGGCTAAGGGGGCCCCGGGGTCCTGGCCTGCAGCTCTAAAGCCCCTTTTGGAATGCGGCCCTGCGAGCATGGGCCGGAGGAGCAGGGGCAGCCAGCGGCCAGAGAGACATGGCGCTTTCCCCTTCAAAGCACCGTTTCTCTCCGTCTGCTTCTCTCTAGCCACTGGCTGTGCGGCTGGCCATGCTTCTCCTGAGTCCTCCGACCCGTGCTGCATTCCGAAAGGGGCTTTAGAGCTGCAGGCCAGGGCCCTGCAGCCCCTGAGTTCCGGGTGGCCCTGCCTGCCGGGGGGGGGGGGGGGGGGGGGGCAGCCTCCCTGCCCGCTCCCTCCATCCCTCCCAGAAAGTCCTAAGCACCGCCAAACAGCTGTTTGGCGGCGGGGGAAGCACTGGGAGAAAGGGAGGGGGAGGAGGCAGAGAAGAGGAACTTGTGCAATGCTCCCTTGTAAAGTCCGCCAAACGACGTTATACGGGAGCATTGCACAACTTTTAAACAAGTATGTTCCCTAATGGAGCAGTGACATAACTTTGAAACAACGTTAAGCAGGAGGGCGAGGACGTTCAGCGATGAGTTACTGTAGTGTTTTTTTGTTTTGTTTTTTTTACACTAAAAACACTGCTTCTGCTCGGACAATTTAACCATTCCTTAATTAAGCTCTTACTTTTTTGTAGGTAAAGTAAGCAGTTAGGACTTGCAATACACACACACAACAGATAAAGTTGAGCAAGTCCTATAGTCACATTTCTGGCCATACCGGCACTTTACATTCAAACTCTCTGTAAAATAAACTTGGCTTCTATATGTGACAGTGTCACACTTCAGATGCCCTCTATTTTGCTGCACTAGACAGTGAAATTCAATACAGGATGTCCATCATAGTTATCGGCTGTCTGCCACGTGGTTATAAACTCTTGTCCTAAGCGTTTAAAATCACTGATCAGTATCTTAAAAGGAACTTTCTCAGTGTAGTATTATGGCTAGTATGCCAAAATGAGAATTCTTGTACATAGACTTTAAGGCCAGAAGGCACTATCCTGATAGTCTAGTCTGACCTCCTGCATGTTACAGGCCACAGAACCTCACCCAACCACTCCTGTAACAAGAACAGGAGTACTTGTGGCACCTTAGAGACTAACAAATTTATTTGAGCGTAAGCTTTCGTGGGCTACAGCCCACTTCTTTGGATGCATAGAATGGAACATATATTGAGGAGATAGAGATAGATAGATATATATATATATATATAGAGAGAGAGAGAGAGATATTTTATATATATATACACACACACACACACACACATACAGAGAGCATGAAAGGTGGGAGTTGGCTTACCAACTCTGAGAGGCCAATTAAGTAAGTGGGGGGGGGGAAACGTTTGAAGTGATAATCAAGATAGCCCAGTACAGACAGTTTGATAAGAAATGTGAGAATACTTACATGGGGCAATAGATTCAATGTTTGTAATGGCTCAGCCATTCCCAGGCCTGGTCCACACTAACCCCCCACTTCGAACTAAGCTACGCAAATTCACGTAGCTGAATTCGAAGTACCTTAGTTCGAACTTACTGCGGGTCCAGACGCGGCAGGCAGGCTCCCCCGTCGATGCCGCGTACTCCTCTCGCCGAGCTGGAGTACCAGCGTCGACAGCGAGCACTTCCGGGATCGATTTATCGCGTCTAGACAAGATGCGATAAATTGATCCCAGAAGATCGATACTTCCTGGTCCGGCCGTAAGCAAAGTGTAGACCTGCCCTAAGTCTCTGTTCAAACCTAAGTTGATTGTATCTAATTTGCATATCAATTCCAGCTCAGCAGTTTCTCGTTGGAGTCTGTTTTTGAAGCTTTTCTGTTGCAAAATTGCCACCTGCAGGTCTGTCATTGAATGACCAGACAGGTTAAAGTGTTCTCCTATTGGTTTTTGAATGTTATGATTCCTGATGTCAGATTTGTGTCCATTAATTCTTTTGTGTAGAGACTGTCCGGTTTGGCCAATGTACATGGCAGAGGGGCATTGCTGGCACATGATGGCATGTATCACATTGGTAGATGTGCAGGTGAACGAGCCCCTGATGGTGTGGCTGATGTGGTTAGGTCCTATGATGATGTCACTTGAATAAATATGTGGACAGAGTTGGCATTGGGCTTTGTTGCAAGGATAGGTTCCTGGGTCAGTGTTTTTGTTCAGTGATGTGTGGTTGCTGGTGAGTATTTGCTTCAGGTTGGGGGGTTGTCTGTAAACGAGCACAGGTCTGTCTCCCAAGATCTGTGAGAGTGAGGGATCATCTTTCAGGATAGGTTGTAGATCTTTGATGATGCGCTGGAGAGGTTTTAGTTGGGGGCTGAAGGTGACAGCTAGTGGTGTACTGTTATTTTCTTTGTTGGGCCTGTCTTGTAGGAGGTGACTTCTGGGTACTCGTCTGGCTCTGTCAATCTGTTCCAGCCACTAGAGATATTTGCTGCTAG